TCTAGTCTGCGGGATGCGTTTCATTTCAAAGGAAAGAGGGGACCTAAGTTGATAAACTCCCCTTTGCGAATATCACATATTCCATTTATCATAATCAGGAAAAGCAGTAATCTCGTGGAAATCGTTACCCTTGGGGCCTTAGATTGTGTACTGCCTGCACGAGGATTGATACCGAAAATACATGAGTCACAGAAATCCTTAATGCTCCTTAGTGTAGGATGTGCGGCGGCTCTTTTTTCGACTAAGGGTCATCGCCAGGAGCCAGTGAGACTGGGGAGAAGAGGGGAAAAAAAAGGCGAGGGGGAAGTGCGTGCACGCGACAGGGTCCCGGGGCAGGCGAAGGAGAGTGAGTCGGGAGGGAGGTCCAAGAAAGAAGAGCTGCGCGCGAGGATTCAAGATTTCATGCAAATCAGGAATTAAAACCCCGCGTTCTCTATCACCTGGGAGAAAGTAAGCAATCTTGGTGTCATTTGATTCCTGAAACATATCTCTATGCGATAGGAACAAAAAAGTCCGGTATTTGAGACCGATGAACCAAGGAAATCGACCCGGTAGGACAGAAATGGCCTCAATTTTAAAATGGGCCACAGCAAAAAACGATAGGTTCCGAGGATAGCGAACGGATTCCCATGAAAATCCACACGAAGCTTCTTGAGAGACTTCTTAAGAGATCTATCAGAGGAATTTTTTAATTTCGGCTTCGTTTTCGAGCAATGTCCGTCAACCTCGAGTGATTTCCAAAAAAGTGGCATTTTCGCGTGGATCGTCGAACTTTGAGAGCGAACGGTTGGAGGAAACTATGCGCAACTCCGCCAAAAGATGGATCAGGATAGCCTCCAAAAAGTGTAGCATGCTTTTGTCGATAGGAAATTTCTGCGAGGAATGAGAGCGAAAAAACAGAATCCGAAAACGGAAATTTTCTCAGTTATGGCGCCATGGCGTCTCGATAACGACAGTTACATGCATGTATTTATTTTTTTCCATTTAGGGCAATATCTTCCAAGGAGAATGGCACGAATTTGACGTTTCTGCGGCCAATGGTTGGGGAGATACACATTTTCAAAGAGATGCATGTAAATTGTGACCTTTGACCTCAAATCATGGCCCCGGGCGTTACCGCAGAGAGTCAGCAATCGGCTCCAAGGCCCTTTCTTGAGGTCCCTTACAACAATTATAAAGCGGAATTTCGATCCAGGAGGGTCGATTTTCATCTTCCAATAGTACCTTAAATCAATACAAAAAAAAGAAAATTCACCTGACCCCCTCTGATATCCATTAAATTTGCTGAACCTGTAGTGGCTTTTGAAAAACCATTCCATGCCAAATTGCAGCTCTCTACCTCAAGTACCTCCAGAGATGCAGCAATTTGAAAGTTGTGAAAAGTGAAAAATTTTGGGTCAAGTCGTCTTCACTTAAGTGCTCATAACTTTTGTTCTAATCAACATAGAAAGCTGAAATTGGTGTCAGTTTAAATGTCTCTTAATGCCCTTTTAAATTGTGTGTAACCCAAGGGCATTCAATGTAAATAAAGGTCAAAGGGTCTGACTTTTGACCATTATTACAGAAAAAAGGATCATTTTTATTTTCTTTAAAAATTTGCCATACCATTGTCAGTTTCTTCTGCTTTGGTGCTCAAAATTTCAAATTGCCATGGGATCAGGAGATACAAACAATAGAGTGATAGCAAGTACATGAAAATCCCCATGCAATTGCCTAAAAGCAAAAGTACCCAGTGACAGTTAACTAACGAGAATTCGTTTAAAAAAGAAAAAAGAAAGTCAAACTAAAACTGGACCAAGTTGAAGGACACCCCGTTATCCATGACTGAAGCTTTCCAGTTCCAAGATCATCTCGCAGGACAGTGACTTTCTCATTTCTTCTTCAGTGACTTTCTCTTCCTTCCCATCAACAAATGAGAAGGAAAACGCTTTGGTAGCAACTTTTTTCTCGTCAATAGAATGAAAGAATGAAGTTTTTGTGTTCCAGGAGTGAGTGACTGCGCAAATCTTTCTTTTAGGTATGGGCATAATCATCTCTTCATGTCCCTTCCCAAACCTTGATAGGAGTGGGGCACCATGGGTCAAGGTATTTATAGCTCTCCCAACTCTTATTTTCTCTTCGTGTCGTATGCTACATATCTTCCAACTGAGGTGTCATGAAAGTGTAGTTGAAAAAAAAAATAGTTCCCACCCAAAGCGGGAACGTTGTGTGGACGTTTTCTGTAGAATACACTTTTTTGGTTTTTTGCTGGCAGTGGCGTCTCGATTTTCGCCAATTATTTCACTTGATGAAGTCTTGATTCTTACTGGGATTGGTTTCGGGAGATCGGTAGTTTAATGCCTGTGCGCATTAGCTACAATCTCAACTTACTCTGGAGGAAATATTGATTTATTATCAATGGCACCTGCTGGGGCATGATGGGTCATTGTATTTGGACCCGATGGGTCACTACTTTGGCAGAAAGAGTCATAACACAGTGCGCCAAATGTTTTCTGATAGTTGCCAATACAGATCAGGATTTCCTTTACAGTCTTTTCCCGATCTAATAAAGCGCAAATACAAGCTGGAAGTTCAACGCCAGCAGATGTGATATTTTTGGACGTGAAATGAATCGTATATTATTTTCTGATTAGAGGTTCTTAATTTTTCCTGACGACATTGGTGGAGTATTCAAGAGCTTCTCTTCCTGTGGTGCGAAGACTTCTTTGTGTGATGACTTTGGGTCAACTGAAGTTACTTTTAGCGATGAAGATGACCCATCGTACCCCTGACACTGACCCATGGTGCCCCAATATAAAATACGACTTTATTGCCAGACGCTTGTATGTTCACAAATTAGTAAACACTGGATTGTGCAGAGTATTTACACACAGGGCCTTCCATAGCTTCAGAGGAATAAAAATGCCTAAGTTGCAGCGCCACCAAAAAAATTATCCATGGTGCCTCACCCTCATCTACCTTGTTACCTTCGACTAAGGATGTCTTCGTCATATCGATATCCTTTTCGGGATATCGATGAGACTTTGACTGAAGATGTATAAAATATATCTCTAAGATGTCTCAAATATATCGCTTTCGAGATGTCGGAAACAGTCCGACTGACGATGTCCTTACGGAGTGACTCAAAAGTCCTTGGACATGAAATAACGGAGGTTTCAATCGATTCCCCCAATTTTTTTCTCATTCAAGCATGAGGCACCACTCTCTACTCCCTCCAAGTTTGACCTGGATTGCTCTTCATACCAGCTGTGAAGCTGCTGAAAGTACCTCGTTCCACGGTTTACAACGGTTGGCAAAACACCTCTGCGTTTTGTTGTGTCGCAGGTCAAAATCAAAGCTTCCTATTATTTGAGAAAAGGTCTTAGAGAAGGTCTTACCCTGGTCCCAAGAGCATTTCCATGGCAGAAGCTGGGTCTTCCAGCAAGACTCAACCCCCAGCACACAAGGCTAAAAGCGTAATCAAGTGGTGCCAAAAAAAATTACTGCTTGATTACACCAGAAGAATGGCCTTCCAGCTCATCTGATCTTAATCCAATAGATTACAGCATCTGGTCCTATTTGGAGGTCAAGGTCTGTGCAAAAGCCAACTGAATTTTGGTGGCTCTCAAAAGTGATCTCAGTTTCGCACGGGATGAAATGCCGGTCGAGCAGCTTCGAAACTCTGTGGATAATATCCCGAAATGATTGAGGCAAGTTGTGGCCGTCAAAGGTGGCTATTTTGAAAAGTACAATTCATTTAGTAAATTTTTTTAAAATTATCTTTCCATTGCACCGTGGGCCAGTGATGCGCAAAAATCATTTTCGTCCGTGAAATGAAAGTCAGAGATAATGACCGTCATTGATGGAAAACAATTGATGAGCCAATGACTTATTTCGGTGATATTTATTTTCGTCACTAGATGGCGCTCTAGTTGAGAAAATGTCTGCGTACTTTTTGATGGTCGATGTCACGTTTTAGTGAAGTCACAGGACAAGATGACTGAAGCTGCTGCTAAGTGGAAATTGGAAATATGAAATCACAAAAAGCGGATGCTATCATGATGATCAACTTACTAATTTGCCACAGTTATCATACTATTTTGATCATTCCATTACTTCCAGGAAAAATGAGTTAGTCCTTACCTTGAGTAAAACCTCTCATTTTTCTGCCTGAAAAATTACTAAAAGTTTAAATTGCAGTCATTCCGCAGAATTCTGTTTTCAATCTAGGATAGTGCGTAGGGCTTACCTACCGTCACTTGCGAGCACGTAGAGTTTCTTGCAGATTGCTGCAGATTCTTCTGATATAAACGAAATTAATATGCCTACTTACCTGAGATTTTCACATTCTCGCTCAAGGATCACCGCTACGGCGAGGCCTGACAGCTTGTTTGGGTCTTTAAAAATTTGCTTGGAACAGCCTGAAAATCGTTTGAATCTAGCTAAACATATTCTGAAAGCAATATTCGAAAATATCCTTTCACTATGAGATAATATCGCTGATGTTAGATTTTTGTGCATTTTTTCCGCCATTCTGGCCCACTGTGCATTGGTGTAATTGGTTTTGCTTTAGCTCTTCCTTAAAAGGAAATAAAAGTTATTTTTCCTTCTCCCCTCCATGTAGAATGTCCCAAAAAGACTTTGGGACAAGTTATCCAGTTGGAGACATCCCTGGGATGTTAGAGTGCTATGGGATCTATATGGGTAATATCAACAGGATTTATGAGCACTGAGCAATGGTTATGAATGTCAATATTTAAAGGAAAAAAAGAAAAGCTGCGATTTTATATCCAAGTTCAAAACGTTCCAGAGTTTAAGATGACACAAGTTTGCAAATTAATCATTCAGTGCCTGCAGAAGATGGGCACTGAGAACAAAAAATGTTATTATTACCAGTTATCACACAATTCGAAACTGACTGCCAAAATGTGACTGCATGGATGAAGGCAGGCATAGCTCGTACACATAAACACAGTTTTTCACATGCTTTCAAGAAAATGGGGAATTTCATTCAGACTCACCCAAAATAATGAGGAATTCGTGTGTAGTAGTCACTGCAAGCACGTACAAGTTCTTTCCCCAGTTTCCCATTAGCAAGTAATTCATCAATACGTGACAACTCCTTGTAGCCGGCACATATTTGTTCTCTTGTAAGCTTCCCTATTAATACATACCATTGTCACTAGGTGCATAATTCAGACTAAGCAATTCCACATTTTAAAAGTGAAAACTTGATGCAGTCCTTTCTAGTACTTGCTTCTTGCAAGTGAATCTTCTTAATCAAGTTGTAAGTGCTCACTGAGCAAATATGAAGCAGTGCAAAGTGACTAAGCAATTTGTGAGTTTGAGGGAAATCCAAAAAATGCCAGCTAATTTCAAGCTTCATTAGAACTAGGATTTGTCAGAAGGACGGCAATGCTGGCAATCCAGAGCAAAACCAGAAGATGGGGCAGTATCATAGAACCAAGGGCCATTATCAATCACTTTAATTCCAAGGGTGAGCGCTTGATTACTATTTCGCTTCTCTAAAATACTGAGGCATGGTAACTGTCTGACACTATGATGGAGAGGAGAAAGCACATACCAAGTGGAGTCTTATTGGTGTCATATTGCAGTTGCAGTACCCCTTCTTCCATCACTTTCAGATCACATATCAATTCAATCAATGACAAGAGAGCAGGCTCCAGTACACTCTCTGGCTTCTTGTCTCCATTTATCTTAGAGACATGGGAAATCAATCAATACCCAATATTATATATATTTGATGTAAATTTTTGTACATTTTACATCTATTGATATTTTACGCAAACCATCAATATATTGCCAACATGTTTGTAGAAATGTCACCTCTGTGATAGGCAAACGGTGATGCAAAATTGACAATAATTTTACATGAAATTGACACTCCCATTTACATCCCAAGCAGCATGTTTATATCAATATTATGCAAATTTTAATTTTTTTAATTCGTGTTAATTTTTATAAGTGAACCACCGGCTTTTAAGAAAAATCTGGGATACTTGGAAGAGTACACAAGTACTCTTCCTAAAAGTACCCAGGAGTACCTGCTACTCCACTATTCCGCACCCAGCACGGAACCCTGGGAGCATGAGCAGTACTACTCTGCATATAAAATAAAGGTTTGAAAGCTTAGAAATTCTGCATTTCACACTTCCTTATTCCCAAACTTAACATGAACATTTAATAATTCCCTGAGTCATATCCCCAGCAGCAAAATACATTGGGCCCACTGGCTACAAGTGGGAAAAAGTCGCACAATCGCAGTGGGCTTGCCGATGTTGGCCCCACATTGGCACTAGGGCGGCAGCCAACATTTGCCATGACTCAAGGTGCGACATCTATCTAAGTTATTTGAACAAAAAGCTTCCCACAGAATAAGCGAGATGGCAGGTATGTAGCCCTATTACAACAAAAAGCTTCCCACAGTTGATGCGAGATGGCGACTATGCAGCCACTATTTCAGTAGGATCAAGGAGTGGTTCATTAATTTAAGACTCCCGTAATTTATCGCGATACTTGATCCATTTCCATACAGAACGTAAAGGAAGACACTTGAATTTCTCAGTTCATTCGTCTAAACAGGTTAAACAGTCCAAACAGACTCTTGTTAATCGTGAAGCAAGCTTGATTCAAATTGGAGCTTCACTCGATATAGGAAGGATAAAACAAATAATTTTCTTTTGACTTCAGAAGCTGCATCTGGTTCCCCTCGGAGAGGTTCGGATGTGATCATCCGAGTCTTGCCTAACAAACGCTTCCATAGTGGATGGAGGGCCTATTGGGGCTCAAAACCCTTTTATGGAAAGTGAAGGAAGTACTACTTCCTGGAGTACTTCCAGCCAGACCGAGAGAGACCCTGGCAAGGTCCCCGGTAGGGGAGTTGCACAATTACGTACGCAAATTCGATCTCAATCGTAACCTCCTTTAATCCCTGGAATGTCATGGTGCACGTCAGCTTTTGATGTTGGCCCAACGTGGGGTCGCGGGACAAGCCTACAAAGGACCAATGTTGGGTCCACATCACAAATGTTGAATTCCAGCATTGGCCCAACGTAGGTGTGATGCCGGGGATATTTGTCATAATAACATCATACTAGCCGACCCGTGGAAGACTTCCACGAACTCTTTGCCAAGGTTCTCGAGTTCATTCGGCGGCCCTAAAACCCAGTGGCTCTCTCAACGCTCTGGGCAGCAGTTGCTCTATCCCTATATTGATCAGAACCCCTTTCTCGGATTGATCAACACTTTTACCTATTGATCACAACCCTGTCCGCATCGTCCGTAAAGTCCATCTCCATCACTTTTCATGCAAGCCTATGAGTGAAACATACGAATATGGGAACTGGATGTTAACGACACGACCAGCAGAGTCCTTGCGATCCAGGGAGAAGCCTTCCTGTTCTATCCCAACCTGATGGGATCCCGCCGCTTTCACCCTCGGAAGTTACTACGTACATTACTTCGCGCGGAGGAAAACGGGATTCGAAGTGTTGTAGGTGGATTTTCCCGCGTGAAAGTTCGTATCGAGGTGCGAACAACCCTCAGTAAGGGGAGGGGGGTGGGGTCTTAGCAAGGCGTACCATGACTCTCTCTTGCATTCTCAAGAACGGAACCGACAGTAACAAAGGCCGAAGAGAAAGTGCGTGTCAAGAGCGTGAGACGGGCACGCCAACCCGCGGAAGTCTTCCACGAACTGTTTCTCGGGAATTACCGAGTTCAGTCAGCGGCCATCTCAACGATATAAGCAGCAGCCGCTCGATCGCGTTCTCGAGAATGACCTGTGGAACCGTGGAGTGACCACGAACTTCGGGTCGGTCTCGGTCAGGGGTGTCAAACTGCCGGCCCTCAAGTTGATTTCGTCCGGCCCACAAAGTCATCTTCAACAGTTGCTTTTGGAAAATCGTAGTCATTTTCAAACGGTTAGCAATTGAAACTTTGGTGTAAGACTTATTAATGTGGACCCAACCACTCCTGAGGGGTTCCATCCGGCCCCCAGCTCAATCAAGTTTGACATATATTGCCTAGGCTAAGCGTGTAGCATTTTCGGGTATTCACGAGTTCGGTCAGCAGCCCTAGTAATGCTCTACGCAGCAGCCGCCCGGACATTGTACGTCTTGCGCATCCCAACCCCCCCCCCTCCCCTCCCCCCTTCTCAAGGTGGTATTCACGCCAACAAGACGGACATTTAATGAATGGCACTCGCATCCAGTATCGATCGCGTATCGTCCATCTCCACCACTTTTCATGTAGACCTATGAGTGAAAAATTCGGATAGAGAAACGGGATGGTTACGACGTGGCCGACGTCGTCTTTCCGATCCAAGGGTAAGCGCTCCTGCTCCATACAGGTGGGATCCCGCCGTTTTCACCCTCGGGAGTCGCTCTCCTTCTGAGCGTGCCGATCAATAAGAGGATAGGGTTCCGATTGACAAATGGGTCGGGATCCCGAGAAATATATATGGGCTGAGATCTCATCTCTGCGAGGAGGTGGAGGAAGAAAATGAGGGTTTCCTTAACTGAAAGGAGTCCCACTACTGGACTAGGCTTGATCAACTTGTTTTTCATTCCGTCTGTCCGCAGTAACCGTAGCGACCAGACAACACGACCCAATGCGCACGCGCAGCTTTCCGTCCGGGTCGGGGTGCCCAAAGACCTTATACTAAGAAGACTGGGCACTCTGTGGCGGTGCCTTTGATGTCGGGGAAACCTCCTGCCCTGGTGTTTGGCCCCGGAATTACACAGAATTGATCAATAGGATCATTGGATTGGAATTTCGCATGAAATATGGCTGCTTCTGGATTCAAGTACTGCACCTACGCACCATGCCAGGCGAAATTTGGCCAAATGGAAGGAGATGCTCCGTTGCGTCGGTTTCCCAAGGATCCAGAAAGGCATGCGCATGTGTTCACCTAGGGCTTTTGCATTAGGCCTATGGTCATGGCTTTACATATGTGTAACAGGCGGATAAAGAAAAATGCTGAGTAATCTTATTGATCCTAACGAAAAGGTCAACATTTTCATGTCTCGGATTGACAGGCCCGTTAGAATGGGATGAGTTCAATTTTGAAGGGACAAGAACAGGATTTAATCATTATCTTACAGCTTTGCTTTGGATTTACAGCCTAATGTTCCTGGGGTCCAGTTAGGTTACAGCTGGCTTCTACTCGCACACATTGTTGCTGGCAGCTAAGCTAAAATGTTTTCGGCTATAGATGAGATTGCCATTGTGATTCAGCGATCTCCAGTTCATGAAAATAATGCAGTTCGTAAATTAACAAAAAAGAAACTGATTCCTTGCTACATAGGTAACCTACGCAGCATGCATCGTCTTGCAGTTCTGTCTGAATTCAAGAATCGTAGCACTCCCCCACCCCCCGGGGGATCCTCCGAACACTGTTTTCCAACTCCTCTCCATGGTCTTCAGCCAGCCATGTCAATCAGTCACGCGCAATAGAAATGGCGTCAGACTTCGGGCGCGAATTCATTCAAGAGCCACTACCGCTCTGCTCCAGGAAACATTGATGTTAGTTCGAGGGCCAAGGGCAAAGACCGCCATTGCGGTTACCCTGCTTTCGCGCAGTGTCCAGTCTTCTTAGCATAAGGTCTTTGGGGGTGCCCGTCTTCCACGAAAACATCCACTTCCCTCCCAGTCCTGGCGGTTGACGGATCCAAAGTACAGAGTGGGCACAAAGTCCCTTTGCAGTGAAATTACAGCACATCTTGTATGTTGCCCTCCGTTCTCAGCACATTGTTTGATCCGTGTCCATGTTCTCTTAGACATTTTCTTCCGCGTTGAAGGCTGAGTATCATAAAGCAGTCCATGATGACTGTTTTTAGGTCCTCAAAATTTGTTAACCGCAGTTGGGAAATCTACACAATGCCACAAATTGAATTATCGCATGTTGTTAAGTCTGGGCTTCGAGGTGGCCAGGTCATATCAGACCCTCGTCCAATCACATCGGAAGTCGCATAAAAGTCCCTTAGCATGAAAAACAATGTTCTCTAACGATATGTTTTTTTTTTAATTAAATCTTGCACATTATGCACTCGCAGCTCGAGCATATCTTAATAACCCATTCAGTGGATTATGGATTGGACGAGAGTCTGATATGGCATGACCACCTCGAAGCCCAGATTTAACATGCGATAATTCACTTTGGGCATTGTGAGGGAGATTTCCCAACTGCGGTTAACAAATTTTGAGGACCTAAAAACAGCTATCAGGGACTGTTTTTAAGATATTCAGCCTTCAACGTGAAAGAAAATGTCTCAGAGAACATGGACACGGATCAATGTGCTGAGAACGAAGGGTGTGCAGATACAGATGTGCTGTAATTTCAATGCAAAGGGACTTTGTGCCCACTCTGTAGACAACGGAGGAGAGCGGCTGCTCCCGGCCGCGTATACAGGGTTGTTAGGCGCACGCATGAAATGCCGTATCTGGCATCCTACACTTCATACTGTCCTCCCATCTCCACGCGACGCGGACGCGCGGACCATCGAGAACATGTCTTGCTCTCCTGGCCTTTAATATAGGCCTACGCCGAACCAATGTCAGCTCTTATTTATCTCGTACTTATTCAAGGTTGTATGGTTAGGATGCGGTAAACACATATAATAAATCCAGCGGTACAAGGGCCAGTGGAATGCCAGATCTGTACCTGGGCAGGTACTCTCTAGTCGAAATTTCGGTCTTC